ACAGTCACCAGAAATTTCAGCTCTAAGGGATCTGATGCTCTCTTCTGGCCTCCATGGGACCCACACATGCATAGTATATAGTCACACTCACATGGACACACACATATACAGATAAAATTAAGGCAAATCTTAAAAAAAAGTCACCCCTCCACACACATCCCTCCTACTTGCCACCCCAATTGCATAAGCTTCCGGCTCCACACCTGCTCGAGGACACCTGCTTAGGTGGGGATGGTCTGAAGAGACAGGAGCAGGCAGCGCCATCCCAAGGGGGACAAATCAGGCAACTGCTCACTGCACCATATCTATAATGGTGAAAGTAGGAGGAGATGATCACCCAAGAAAGCTCTAGAAATGCAAGCAAATCTCTCAGCTCCAACTGGGGCTCACAGCTGAAGATACAAACACAGCAGTGGTCCTTGGTTATAGGATGAAAACTGCCCAGTGGTCCAGCCTTTCCTGCATCCAGTGCTCGTGTTACTTCCTGCCCTGGCACTTCACTTGGCATCAACCCCTAGTCAGATCAGATATTCACACACACACACACACACACACACACACACACACACACACTCAATGTAGCTTCCAGTGATTGGTCCTTGTTTGCAGAACCCCCAAATTCAGTCCCCAAAACCAATCTCTGAGAGTCCTTCAGTCTAGTTCTTCCTCAGTACAAATTCACTTTTTGGCTTTGTTAGTTAACATTAACATCTTCAGTTGGCTTGACTACACAGTGAAAATAAAGAATACCTGCTCCTCAAAAAAAAAAAGAGTGAAATCAAAATAGTTACATGTTTATTTACTTACACAAAGCCTTGTAATAATATTGTTGGGATGCCCTATTGGTCAGAGGTTACAGTCTACCATGGTCTGGAAGCTCTCTCAGTGCTAGGTGCAAGATGGAGGTCTCCTTCCCCATCAGCGGAAGTTTCCTGCTCTCTACCTAACCTTATTTGGAGTATGTCTCTAGGCCAGGAGGCCTACTTATCTCTAGTGTGACCCTTGATACAGCTTCCTCCGGGAGCCTTCCCCCTGCTGTGACATATGGTAATCAGACTTCATATTAGGAGCATTGCTATAGGACCCAGCTGGCACATACAGAGCCTTATGACAGGAGCATCCTGCTTAATGCAAATTAGTTGATCCCCCAGCCACTGTCCCCAGTCTTTGTATCACCCCTCACTCTGGAAAAAAGCTGAGCTGTATCACTGAAGCAATCTCCTGGAAGGCTATTTCCATTTTACCACAGGTCAGACAAGGCCCTGCTTGTCACTTCTGCTCTCTTTGCCCTCATGGCCTGGTGGCCAACTGACCATGAAGAAGGAAGGAACCCATATAATATAGCTGCTTAAGCTGGCCTTGAATTTCCAGGTGCTAGGATCTAGGTGCCACTAAGCCAGAAGAGAACTTAGAGTGACTGGCCTCAATCCACAAGTGAAGGCAATAATTTGGCATATGGAACGAAGGGATGACTAGATTGGTATTAAAGAAAACAAAAATGGTTCAGGTGCAAGTTCTGCTCGTGTTTTAGGAAATGAAACCAGATTCTCATACTGTGGAATCTTTGTCTCAGTGGATCAGTCAGCCCTCCTCATGTTTCCTCATAGTCAACCAAGGATATGGCCTTAACGGGGACCCTTGAACTCTGCATGCCCAAACACCCAGAGATAGTAGGTTACTAACACTAGACCCCTGATGGGTCACTCCAACGCTGGAGTTCCATAAGTCCCTCAGCCCCTCCCAGCTCTGTCAATGACTTTTGCCAGGTCGCGTGCACTTCCTCTGTTTCCTCTACTGACAAAGCCCCATCACGTCTTTTTAGTTGGGGTGACTTCCCATCATCCTTTTCCTTTCCCAGATACATTCTGCCCATTTTGGCTGCGGGTCATCGTGAGCACCTTGTTCCCAGTCCTGGCCCAGCTGAGGAGCCAGACTAACTCCCTGGTCTCTTTCACTAGACTTCGAGCAATCTAAGCATAGAGACCACAAGTGATTCTGGGTAAAGGAAGGAGTGAATGAAGACAACACGGCAATTCACAGCACACGTAAGGCGGGATCTGTGGTTTGGTAAAGACGCAGAAATTTTCCCATAGACTTCGTCCTTCCATTTCTCGGCTGGGAACGCCTTGTGGCTAGTACTTTGTTCTTCCGTTTTTTGGCTGGGATACCTTGTGGCTAGTACCAGTTAAACAGTGGAGTATAGGAAGAAATCAAGTGTGCTGGAGACTCTGAGTAACATAAACGGTAAACTGAACTTGTCGGTTTTGCAACTGTCCCCTGTTCATTCCTAGTTTTTAATATTGTTGCTTTTCTAATAGTGAGATGACTAGTAGGGGAAGTACACATGAGTGTATCATTGTAGTACAGAACGTGTGTGTGTGTGTGTGTGTGTGTGTGTATGTGTGTGTGTGTGTTCTGTCTCTATGTCTTTCATGAAGTGAACAGTGCTAGGCTTTTTTTAGCCAGTGGATCAGAGCATCTACAGCTGCTTTCTGCTCAGGAGCCCACGAGGATGTTTTCCACTTACCTTTCCACTTAACCTCAATGCTGAGACAGCTAAACATCAGAACCAAATCTTTTATGCTGCACAAGTTAGTAAAATGAATTTTTAAAAATCCAAATTGGAGCTAAGGGAGGTTGGAAATTTTGTCTGGGATGCTAACTTGCCTATTTAATACTAATCTTAAATGACGGTTCAGCCCAATCTTGTACAAATTTAAAACTGTGTAATTAAATGCATTAGAAAGCTTTTAAATGATCAAGGTAGGAGAAAAAAATTATAATGATAATAAAAGTTACATTGTACAGCTTGAAACCTAGAAAGACAGTTAACAGCAGGCTCTCTTGATAGCTAGAAGAGTCAACATTATCATGATTCTATAGCACCATCATTGACTGCCTGCTCTGTCTCAGGCATAATGTGAGGTTGGAGGGAAAACTTCACCAGCAAAATTGATGGTTAGAACTTGCGTGTTAGCGGCAGAAATGAGAGGGCCCTATACCTTTCTTAGCTACAAATGAACTCAGGAGAGGTTGAATAATTTCTATTGTTTGCATTTTTAGAGACTCAGTGAAACAAAAACTGAAAACAGGACCTAGTATTTCGAGTATTTGTAAGCCTGTATTTGTCACATGGCCCATTTGGAATTCCCCTTTTCTTTCTTTCTTTTTTTTTAACACAATGGTTTGAAAACAGGCATATTCTAGAGAGGGTAGAAAGCAGTGCCTGTACAACACTTGCCTAAGCTTTGGAACTGAATTCATTCAGCGTCACATATAGCTATTATTAAGTATGTATTCATATACAGATTTTTGTTAAGTGTGTGTGTGTGTGTGTGTGTGTGTGTGTGTGTGTGTGTGTGTGTGTGCTGTTGCCATGGTAGAGGCGTGAGGATTCTCAGATGGTAACCAGCAGGTCCTGTGCCTTCTATAAAGAGGTGCTGGACCAAATGGCAGTTGTTTGTGCACCAAGTTCTGGATAGCAACTAATCTCTTCTGCACCAGTTTGCCAGATAGATGAATGTGGTCTTGAGGTGTTTCTTATTCAGGGAAATAAAGTTATTGAGTAACATTATTTGCACTGGGAAGGAGAGAACCAAGGGGCAGGGACACAGGAAAGGCTGCATTTGTGGCAAGCTTGCTCCTGTGTTTTTTCTCTTCATCATTAGGATTTGGACTAGGGTTTTCTGCACAGTGACGGCAGCACTAGTCATATCTTCATAAGGAAAAGGTTCCAGGGATGTAGTTCTGCCAACCACTCACTCACTGTCAGGATCCATCATTCTCCCCAAGCTACTCTAGTCTGATGTTGAATTAAGACAAAGAGCTCTAAGATGCATTAAAGGGATATCTTAAAGGAATTCGCAAATCAAGTATTCACCTTGAGTCAAATGACCAGTTTGGGTTACTTAAAATATGCAGAGATGCACTGTGGGATAATGGTCTTCATCTCCAATCCTTTGTCTTTCTGCTGTGAGGCAGAAGCCAAAACCTTTTAATTAGATGTAAGCCAAACAAAGCTGTTTCTTTACTAGTTCTAATTACCTGGTGCCCTCAATACAAATGGCCCTTTCCTTTTCAGTTGCACTAGTGACTGCCAGCAAAGGAAGAGTCTGAAGGTTGACTTGCGAACCTACAGCTGGGTCATGGGTAAGTGCACTGGTTAAGATAGTCTGAACTGGGGAGGAATTGGTGAAGTGCTAAGACAGGGTAGGGGTTGGGAGGAGGATACACTCAAGAACAGAGATCTACAAAGAGGCACCTTGCTGCCTACTCTTCTCCAAGGGTCACATTTCTTTGTCCTCTCATCGTCTCCCATCTACAATGAGGGTGACTTGTTTAGTCAGACAATAATCATCGTGAGATTTGGTTAGATGTAGTGGGTAATGACAATGGGCAATGGCTTTAGGGTTGGAAACACCTAGGATTGAATCCTGGTTGTGCTATCAGCTATCATCCTTGAGCAGAGACCCTCTGCAGTTCTCATTTCTCTTGTCTGTAAAATGGGAATAATTGTTGTATCTACTTTATTAGGAACATTGTGAAGATTAAGCAAGGTGCTGGGGCCATCATGACTGCTTAATAATTATCAACTATAATTTCCAAAGCACTATAAGCTTCTTATAGTAAAAGACTCTCATAGTGCAAAATCCCAATTATTTAGCTGCCAGGTAGGCTTGCGGGACCTTTTCAACTTTAAGTAGGCTTTAAGTAGGCTTCATTTGTATGCCAAATGGGCTGATACTTAGATGACTCACACTCTCTGACTATTCTTTACATGTCTTTGGAACTGCACCCATGTGGGTTGGGAATGTAGCTCTGCAGTAGAGCACTTGCCTCACATGTACAAGGCCTTGGCTTTAACACCCAGCACAGCAAACAAACAAACAAAATCTTGCACCCGGAAGTGCTGTGTGCATCTACCAGCATGGCCAGAGCTCAGGCTATCTTAATCGTACTTGGAAGGACCGAGACTGGGCCGGGTGTGGTGGTGTGGATACCTTTAATGCCGGCATTTGTGAGGTAGAGGCAGCAAGGTCTCTTCTGTGAGTTTCAGGACATCCAGGGATACACAGGGAGATCCTGCTTCAAAAAAAAAAAGTGAGAGTAGATGAAGTTGAAAGAAGGCATTATTAAACAATCCAGTCCTGGGCTAGATTTCATTAATTATTCTTTGAAATTGTCAACCATATTTATTTCCTACTGTAACATTAATCACAAATGAACAGTCCCAGCTTAGGCATAAGTTTGTAAGACCTAGAAAGACATTTTATAAGCTTCAAATGTGGCACACAGGGACTAAGCCTTGTCAGAAAGATCTCTCCTGATGAGACATGTGGGATACAGGTGGCTGAGGAGCAACAGAGGAAAAAGCATGGACCACTGGAGACCATGATAAATCAAGCCAAATCAAAAGGAGGAGAGCACAGATAGAGGTTGCAGGGCCAAGACAGGAAGTTTCAGATGGGGGTGTTGGGTGCCAGATGCAGGCCATGTGGCACCTGCCTGGCCATCTCCATGGCTGCTGTTAAAGACCAGAAGTGGCTTCTGACCTGCTCCCTGTTTCCCCGTGTCCTTTCTTTGGCTGTGTTACCAATCAACTTGTTTCTCTGTCAGCTATAGAATGTCTACAAGACCGAGACTGTTGGTTTCCAGGAATACATAATCATGAGATTCTGCACTACCATGATTGCTGCATTTGATAAGAGAGCATTATGAATTATATAGTAATAAGACATTCTGAACGACTTGAAGTATAATTGCAAGATCATAAATTTTACACACGGAAATGTTCTAGCAACTTTTTAAGAGTTGTATAATCATCACCACAATCCAGTTTGGGAATAATTCCAACATCCCCCAGATAAGTTCCAGGATTGTTTTCTAGTCAGTCCTGTCTCTTACCCCAAGCCACAGGCAGTCTCTAAACACTTTGTTTCCATTGATTTCCCATTTAATGGGATCATGTAGTCTGTCTTTTATATCTCCCTCCCTTCACTGAGAATGATGACTTTAAAGTCCATCCACGAAGTGTCAGCCATCTGTTCCTTTAATTCTGAATAGATTTCCCTTTCCCTGCACCAAGTCATTTCCAATTGACATTGTTAACAATGCTAAGATACTTACACACACCAGGTGATGGTGGCGAACACCTTTAATCCCAGCGCTCAGGAGGCAGAGGCAGGCGGATCTCTGTGCGTTCAGGGCAAGTTTGGTCTGCAGAATAAGTTCCAGGACAGCCAGGGATTCACAGAGAAACCCTGTCTTGAGGGTGAGGGTGGGGGGGGATACTTGTACACGTCTTGGAGTGGATATGTTTTCATTTCTCTTTATTCCCAAGAGCAGAATGGCTGGGTGATATCATAAGTTTAACTTGTTAAGAAACTGCCAAGTTGCATTGTGGAATGAAAAGAATTCCCCATTCCAACTAGCCTTGTACGAGGGTTCCAGTTGCTTCACAGCTTTGCATGTCCTAATGTCTGTCTGTTAAATGATACTTGGGCTGCGGTATCACAAGCATGTAAAGTGACACACATCCATTCATCAACTTGGAACCACACAGGTAGAAATGGTGTGTTTGTTTAGTGAGACCCAGAGCTGGTAGCAGATGCTGGAATGAGGTACAGGAGGCAAGCCCTTTTCCCCCAGCCAATCAGGCAGTTGCTTTTCTGCTTGCCCTGTTTCCACAAACTGAGACAGGACCTTTTAGGAGAAGCCTCCCATAGCCTGTGTTGTTATTTCAAAGAAAACAAACAGAATCAAGGAAATGTTTGTTCTTGATTTTCTTCTCAAAATGATGGGATTGGATGGAAGTTTTACATGCTGGTGGGGGTGGGGAGCAAAGGGATGCAGTATTCATTAACTGCCCACGTGCCAGATGTGAGATGAACATTTCCATATTCTACTTCTCAAAACTTAAAATCCTTAAGTTTTATAATCATCATCCTACAAGTGAAGAAACGCACACACACAGAGGGTAAGTAAATCACAGACAGCGAGTAAAGCTAAGATTCAAGCCTCCGTCATTAAGTTCTAAGCTAGATTTCACTATGCCAAGAACAAACAAACAAGGCAGGACAACTTAGCTATCGGAGGGATTTTAATGGAAAGCACACATAACTCCATCTCCGAGCTTTTCAACTGCCAATCATTAACCCCCTGTGTGCAGCAATTATCTTGTGGTGCGGGGCTTCTCACTTCCACACTCTGGTGCAATGTATGATGCAGAGTTCAAACCCTGGAGACTGAGAGTCCAGCTGGCAGCCCCAGGGGGAACGTGGAGGAGTGGGATTCCTGATTGCTGAACAGACATTTTCCTTTTTCTCCTGGCTAAGAAAAGGTTGTTCATTCTCAGTACTTGCCTAGTTAGTGCAGAGAAAATCCACAGTCATTTTTACCACCTAAAGTGAGAAACAGAGAGGCTCCAGAATTAAACTGGTACATTTTTTGAGTAATAGTTCTGCTTCCCTCGGGTAAGAGGAATTTTTACTGATGTCACTGCCACCCACGACCACCTGGCATCTCTGCGTGGTGGCTCTAGAAGAGGGTACAGGAGGGATGTTTTGCATGGAAGACGCTATGGGGCCCTCTCTGGGAGAAGTCATCCATTATCTGTAGGCTGTCTAGTTTCACTGGCTCTCCTATTCCCTACAGACTCAAGGTAGGGACTGTTCGCGCTTAGTTTGGAATTGTGAGACAAGGGACAGAAGATGAGAATATGAATCATATATTAGGAAGTGACTTTTTCTAGTTATTACAGCCTACACAAACTTTAGTAATTGAGGATTACTTTCATGTTTAGCAACTAAGAGCTAAACATTGTTCCTTGGCTCATCTCGTATACTTAACAACTTGTAGCTTCTAAACTACTAGTTAACACCTGGGCCCTAGGGGTAAGAGGAAGAACTGGAGAGAAACTTCAAGTTGTTCTGATGAACCAACTGTGAAGTTAATAAAGACGGCAACGTGCCATAGATCAACCTGCTCCCAAACTGTGTTCCAGGAGATGATCTGCATTGGCTAGCCCGCCCCAACTCCATTAAAAGTTTGAGGAACACCAAGTAAATGTCTTTGTTGAGTACCAAAGGATACACATTATTGACTCTTGAACCAACTCTCCAGACCCCATGATAAAGTTTAAATGCCATTTATTAGCCCTAAATCTAAGAAATCAAATTCACTGGATCTTGAGTTATAGGGAGTCTGTTTTTATTCTATCTTTTCCTCCTCTCCTTCTCTCTTTCCATACTTCCAGGGTTTCCTATTTGGAAAGCTGAGGTGCAGGTTGCCTCCAGACTGTTACAGGTTTCATATATGTATCCAGTCATCACAGTCTGGGCCCACATCAGGAGCCCACCAAGCAGTGATGTCAGTGTGAGAGCTAGCCAGGATATAACAAAAAGCCTATCTAGTATCCAGATGTGCAGAGTGAGGTGGCAGATGCGAGCTCACAGATCAACCATCTCACTAAACAAGGAGATTTAACTGATTAGTTCCGATGTGTTTGCTGTTTGCCGTACAAACACTGCTGTGCATCTTTGAATTAAAAAATGAGAAAGCAAGCAATTATTTGCCTTAATTAGAAGGTAACCATAGAATTATAACAAAAAGCAATGTTGTGGTTTTACAAGTAAAGCATGTTAAATCAAATGGTACACATAATAACTCTAACCAGCTTTCACACATGTACCTAAAAAACAAGCTCCTGAGAGGGAACTGGACTGCTTAGAATTGACAGCAGAGTGGTTGTGTATTCCACACAAAGAGAGACTATTGACCTTCACAAGCAGCACTCTGACACACCTTCCTAAATTTTGTGGGATCCCCCACCCCGTTTTATTTTCACATATCTTTAAATTAATGTAGGGGTGGACAGGGAAATTCAGCAGATGCGGTCTGTGCTATGAAATCAATCTTCTGTATTCTTATAAATCTGTATCAACCCTTGGGCCTTGGCCTGTGTGCTCACGGAATCACACGCCTTTGATTCCAGTACTTGGGAGGCAGAGGCAGGCAGATTGTTACACAGAGAATCCCTGTCTCAAAAAGCAATAACAAGACAAAATAAAATCTCTGTATCATCATATTTATAAAATATCAGAGCAGAAGATTTAGAGACTGCCCCCACTGCCACAAGAAGAAAGCACAAAAGCAAAACAAAGAGAGCATGCCTAAGCATAACAGCTTGTGCAGTCTCTGCAAAGTGGGTTTAAAAGAATTAGCGCTGCAGCCTGTGCCATATATGCTCAGTATTATTCAATATATATACATGGGTTGCTTGAGCTTTTCTACATTAAAATGAATATATAGCCACACTGAATATACAAGTACATTTTCCTACAAAGAAATAATGCATAACTATTTCTTTAAAAAGCTTGTCTCTTGCCACCTAAAGTCATATGGTATACCACACATAGTCTTCATACTACACCTTGGGAGAGACACCAGTCTAACTTAAGTGAAGCAAGGATACATATACAGCTCCTTTGCTAAGAGGGGAGATTGGGGGAAAGGATTATGCTGTAATGATGTTTATCTGACCCATACCTAGCATGGTGCCTCAACCATATTCGGTACGCAGTGAGTATCTGCTTGAATAAATGATTGACTGTTTATCGTATCTCCAAGTTATCTCTATTCCCCTACTCCCCAAACCAATTATTTGTCAAGGTGAAGCCTTTAATCAAAGCTCTTAGCCTAAGAAAATTAAGTTGCTGGGCTTGGGCCCTTTTGTAGGAAATGCAAAACTCGTGAAATTCAAGGCTCTTGAGAAATCCAAACACATTTCATTTACCTTTTTTTCCTTTTCTTAAAAACAAAGGAAAATTTTAAAGATTCATTTATTAGCTTTTATCAAAACAAAACAGAAAACCCTAGAGAAAAAAAGTAGAGAATCCTCTCTGGTGAATCTGGAGATGGGTGGTAACTTAATGAAGCTAAGAGTGCAGTAAGGAAGACCAGATAGGCCCTGGTGCACTGGCTGCCCTAACCCAGTAAAGTCACCTAACTGCTTTTAGTGTACAAAATGAAAATGTTCCTTCAGGTCTGAAAACAGTCGGCTCTCCCCTGTTCTTCGAACAGAG